GAATTTCCATCTTTTTTATAAAATTTGGAAAAATTTCCATATCTGAATATAGGCATTGCCCAGATGTTGGGGCAGATTGTTTGAGTTTCAAGTGTCCCTAAGTCGAATCGTCCATATGTCGCGGCATCCCATCCAAACCATGCAATCACACGCCTTTTCAGAAAAAATGCTACCAAGAAAGATCTTCATCTAATGCTACATCAAATAAAAATCAAATGGGATATGGTTGATGAAACTAATTTACGGCTCACAGCGGGGACTGGAAAGCCATCAAGTCATTCGTTACGTTCTGCGCCTTGAGCAAAAAGGGGCTGAGCTATTTTACGGTTCTGGCTCGACCAGCAGGGGGGATTTCTGATGATTGCGAAGGTAGAAAAGAAGGCAAATTAGGTTAGATCACGAAATAAAGGTGCACTGTGCCATACAAACGAAGGCTGAGATGGTATGTGTCTGAGGTTGGCATGCATAATCTGGCTTCCGAATCCGAGGGATGTCCAAACTGTTGAGTGACAAGTTAAAAAAAAAGTCCCCAGATGTTACAACCAGGGGGTTTCATCCAAATATTTTTTTTTGAATGAATGAAGAACACTTTATATTTGCCGCTTTTCAGCGTTCACAAGGTTCAAACGAGATTTCCACAACCAAACCCCCTTTCTTACCCAACCCAAATGCACTCAATGACATTTTAATCACTTCAGAGCAGAAAAGCACAAATTGATAACAAAATTAAAAGCAAATACAAGAAAACATAAAATACAACTGGACATCTGACATGTATGCATACACCCATTCATTCCCTGACATTGGTAACAAAATATACGTAAAAATTAATAAAAATTACAGAGAATCTTTGATGAGAAATCATATAAAGCCAACAGTTCATCTTGATCCTTTAAGATTTCTTAAAGGGTCTGCATTTTTCAGAAATAATGACACCCAAATTTGTATTCAGGCATGATTTGATCTTGAAGACAACCAATTTTCAGATATTCCCATTACAGTAAATTTTTATGTTTACATTGGTTTAAAATTTTCCATTGGAATAAAATAGAATGCACACTTGACCTTCTAAAAGTTTAAGAAATGTATACCTTTCTATGATGCGCGTCCTCTTATCTCAATTTTGAGAAAAAAGATGTCCTTGGTACTTGGGTAAATACAATATTTTAGAGCCTCAAGGTTTGCATACAAAGGTTGTCCCACTTGAGCATGACCTTGGCTATTTCTGAAGTTGGTATGACTTTTAACAATAGCATGATATAGACACGATGAAATGTTCTGGAATTTTTTGGGATTTTCAAAAAAAAAATTATCAATTAACCAAAAGACAATATGTGAAAACTTTCCAGTTATGGCCACGAGTTCTCCATTCATGTCCTAAGGTGCTAAAAGAAAATTCAGACCAGCTATGCAATTTTTATTGATTTTTTCAACAGCATGCATGGAGAACTCTGCCTGTAACTAAAAACTTTTCCCGTATTATCTTTAAGGAAATTGAAAATTATTTTTTAAAAACTTGAAAAATACCATACCTTACAACATTATGGGGAATTTAAAATTTTGTTTATATAGTCATACTCAAATCAACACTTGGATGTGAGAAAGTTCATGTTCATCCTGTTGCAGAGTTGAATTTTTTCTGGGGAGGTATACAGTATTTCAGTTTGACTGAAGGTCACTGAAATGCCCTTAGGTTGTCAAGGCCCAAGTTGCAAAAAATCTCAGAAGGCAATATCCTACTGCCTTCAGAAATCCCAGATGTTCATCCTGTGCTAGGAATGCATGATAAAATATCACCCAGTAAGGAATTTTATTTTTGAGTCAAAATTATCTGCAGTATTATAAAAAATAAAAAACAAGCATACATTGCATGATAAAATAGCCAAGTTTCAGGCAGAATGAAAGGAAACAAATATTTCCAACCCATGGAATTGTAAGACCTATTTTAGAAAAATTCTCTAGCATTGCTGTCATTATTTTCCCATCCATTCAGCTAATTTTGAAAAATAACCGACGGGAATGAATGACTTCCTTCTCTCCTTATTTTCATTTGATAGTTCTTTGTTTCCCCACGAGCACCCAATAATAAAGAGTTTGTGCTGAATATGTCAAGATTTCTTTCTCCAATTACATCTGAACATATACTTTGCTCAACATAACTGTTCAACTTATTTGCAGTCCATTTAAGCTAGATTTTGAGCTTGTGGAATCACACACTTTCTATAGGCAGTAAAATGCCTGATGTAAAATTCAAGAATTCTTACCACCTTGCTTTATTTTCGCCTTCATGACGACGGACCACATGAAAATTTCCGCACAGCTGAATTGAGGACAATTTTTCCTAGTCTCCTTTTCTCGATCTAAAAATATCAGCACTCTGATTCCATGGGAAACATTGAGCTTAAAATACGACCTTATTGTTCTCATCTGAAGCCCTGGCTTATTTGAGAGAGAAAAAAAAATCATTTTGATGCATTGGAACTGATGATCCCCTCCGGAAGCAAAAGACGTGACAGGAAATTCGGCTTCGTCGATTCGCACAAGATTCAATAGAGTTTGTGCTTCCGACAGAAAGGAATGACGGAATTTCAGAGCGTCACGTACGCGGCCATGAATTCGACCGGCTGTAAAGCGATTTATTGCTGGATGAGCTTTAACCATGGAATTTCCGCTCGGCGTGTTTCTGTTTTTTTTTCGTTTAAATGTCGAAAAGATGGAATTTTTGGAATCGATTTCTTATTGGCTTCTGTCGCGTTCATGTGTTGCGGAGGAAGGTGGAAAACGACACACAGGAAAGGCAAGGCGTGTATCGGAACATTGATGGTCGTGTCTACACGCAGGCATTTTTTGTTTTCATTTATTTTTTTGGCCCAGAATCGATTGGCTTTTCCAACTGCACTGAAAAATTTGCTGCTTATCAGATGCAGGGAAATTAATTTTCTTCACTCTCTCTCTCTCTGTGTTCAGTTTGAGACCCTTTTTATTCATTTTTTTTGTTTCCCCCTCGCGATTGTAGTTCCCCATCCCACACGATACAAGCGTTGTCGACGCTCGAAGACGTAGTTGGAAAGTTCATTCCGAAGCCTTGATCTCGACTAGATGTTGTTTTCTCGACTAGATGTTGTTTTGTTCAAAGGCACAATGTTTTGAAAGTCTCGAAACAAAAAAAAAAATTAAAGAAAATGGGAAAGATTTTCCCGGAATTTCTGCAATAACTAATGCACGCCAGGTCAAATCAGGGGTTCAGATTGCTTTTCCCCTGGCTGTTGGAACAGTTTTTGCAAGTATTTTGAAAGAGGACTTTATTTTTCTAGTTGCAATCGGTCCAAACTTTTCCGAAGCATTTCTCGAGAAATTTACATTCTAATTCTTTCGAGAGACGATTTTTGTGGAGCATTATTCAATGTGCAGGAAATCCGTGTTTTGAAAAAAATCGATGAAAATATGACGGATTTCCCCTGAATTTTTGTAAATGTTACATGCCGGTTAAAATCATGGGCCAGTTTTCTTTCCAGCTCGATGTGAAATAATTTTTTCTAGAAGTTTTATTGGGAAATGTATTTTTCTGCTGTCAGTAATAGGTCCTAACTTTCCTTAAGCATTCCTGGTGGAATTTTTATCCTGAATAGTTCGAGGGACTATTTTTGTGGCATATTACTTATCGTGCAGGAATTCGATTTGGGGGGGGGGGATCGAAAAAAACATGAAATATTTTACGGAATTTTTTGAAAATGTTTCATACCAGGTCAAATAAGGGGTTCAATGTTTCGTTTCACCTTGTTGTGAAAACAATTGCAAAACAATTAAATGGAGAATTTTTTCTGGTATCAGTCGTCGGTCATAACTTTGATGAAGCGTTTCTCAAGAAATTTTTTTTATGAATTGTCCGAGAAACTATTTTTGTGACCTATTATTTATTGTTCATCTGGAATTCGAGGTTATGAAAAATCGAAAAAATATAAAAGTATTTCCCGGGAAGTTCTGCAAATGTTGCATGCTAGGTCAAATCAGGGGCTCTGTTTTTTTCGCCTTGCTTTGAAGTAGTTTTTGTAAGAAATTTAAATGCTGACTTTATTCTTCTGTTGTTAAATCGGTCTCAAGTTTTCTTAAATGTTTCTCAAGAAATTTTCAATCTGAATCGTCAAAGACACTGGCGGCATATTAATTATCGTACAGGAATCGATTTATTGTTGATCAATCTTTTAGAAACATCGAGAATAAAGATATATGAAAGATTTCATGAGAATTTCTACAAATTTTATATGCCAAGTAAAATCAGGGGCTCGGATTTTTTTCATTCCTGTGAAACTGTTTTTGGTAGAAATTTGAATCCGAACTTCATTTTTATGGCATCAACTTTCATGAAGCATTTCTCAAGAAATTTTCGCTATTTCTATGGCATTTTTTTTTAAACGTGAGGGCTTTAAACGGTCTTTCGGAGGGGCAAATCGGTTTGGTCCGTAATATTTTTTTTAAATAGATTCAAATCACAAATTAAATTAATTCCATTCAAAACGAAAGTTTCGGCAGGGAAACTATAGAACGTCCACAAAACAGTATTCTTCTTACTCAACACGGCTTCCATTTGAATAAAACTCTTTCTTATTTCAAGTTTGGCAAACCCACTGATTGGGGTTTTACTCGTGCACAACTGCAGAATATTGGCGAGAGCATATTCTGGCACGTCCTCTTGAACCTAATTTCACTTTAAAATAAACTGAACATATCCCATCATTGATAACACGTTGCGAATCGGTGGCTTTCCCAAAAAGTAATCCACGAATCAAAAGAAGAAGAAAAAGCAGAAAATAGTTAAAAAAAAAAAAAAAGCAGCTGGTGTTGAGTTCCCGAGACCAGCGTTTAGAAAATCGACTGAGGGTTGCCAAGAATCGTCACGCCTCCACATCTCGAATATAACCAACCGTCTTCGTAGCGTGATTATTGCTGTTGGCGTGTTTTTTTTTTTTTTTTTTTTTTTTTTGGCGACTGGCACCTCAAAGACATTCCGCCGCGCTGAGTGTGACAGAACCGAGAGGAAAAAATCCTAGACAATATGGCAAGACTTTGACCCCTTCTGAGCGGGACATGAATGTGGATCATTTGGCGCAACATCGTGTCATCGAGTCGAGAGCGAACGGCCTCTTTTTTTTTGTTGGACCACAGGTCAACCGGAAACTTTGACTTGTGTTGGAAGATTTCGAGTTTAGACACCTAATACCGCGCCGAAAATAATTTGCAAGCAGAATCTTTTTTTTTTGCGGAGACTGAACTTCGAATCCTAGAAAATACTTTTCCAAAAGTGTGCAATTTTAAAGCCTTTGCAATGGTTTTGTGATTGGAAGCATTTTGCAACCACGTCTATGAGGAGGGGTCTAACAAAAGTTTTCAGATTAGAAATGGAAAAGAAGTATCATTGAGCGGAAAAACTATGATTGTACAGAGAAAACATTATTTGTTGTTCAGATAAATAGCAGTCTTGTTTGACATCTTTTGTCTCCAAGCAAGGTAAGAAAAAAAGGTTTTTTTTTTCTGAAGAAACAAACATCTTTGTTTCCAGCTAAATTGTATGCCGTTTCAATTTCTAATCCCAGAACTTTATTAGACCCCTTGTATACTGGTTGGTTCTTGAGGATAAACTTGGGGCAAATTTTTTTGTCAAGGATTCAACAAATTTCCTGATATGTATAATATGAAAAAACCATGTCTATTACTTTAAAAACATAAATTGAAAAGAAAAAAGTTATCATAATTTTTCAAGCTTGTGGTTCTACCAGAAAATTGGCGTTATGGTGTTACAAGTTCCTCGGGAAATAAAATCACTATACCACCATCTCCTTCTTGTATTCTTGTAGCTTAAAGCAATGTTTCTACCATGTGTGGTTCTGGAATTCTTCAATTATTTAAAGAAGAGACTGAAAAAATAAATTCCAGTTTAAGCTCTGCAAGTTTTTGAACAAAGTTTGGGGACAGATGTCACCTCAATATAATTTTGTATAAAGCTGGATTGGAAAGAGAAAGTGCATAAATGAAAAGCAGCAATGAGCCTGAGACATGGGCTGGAATTCCTTCTTGGAATTCCTTGGTTAACAAGTAAGGATGTATTCCACAAGAATAAGATCAACAACTACTTAGCAAACTCATGCTTCAACTGAGTAATGAATAACAATTCTGATTAGATTTGGTTCTGCAATCTACCACCTTAACTATTTATATCTAACCTTCACAAGTATTTATAAACCCTTCATAGGGCTTGTCATTTGGTTTTAAGTAGTAGGTGAAACTCTAGCAGATATCAAGACAATTATATCATTCATTTGCTTGCCAAACATGATCCCCCCTACAACTACAACTCTCAATTGCCATGACATAGGCGCCATCTTCTGGCCATCTGCTTATTCTGAGGCGACATCTGTCCCCAATACAAGCCTACGGAAATTTGGATGAAAAATCCGAAGCGAGTTCAAATGCTCTTTATTGAAGTTGTACATATTGTACTTCATTTCACCAAAAGGTTCATAATAACTCTTCTTTACCGATTCAATTACCGCTTGAATTACAGGTTAGGTTCAAGGATAATTGAAGCTATCCTTTCAATTCTCCTTACGTCATTCTTGTTGTGGCATGGAGTACAGTACTATAGTACAACACTAAATTAGCCAAGATTTCATCAGCCGTGAATTTATTTCTCTGGGAAAAATTGCAGCAATTACCGAGTGACTCAATTCTCATGGGTTTCAAATTCCTTCATGCGAAACCCACAGACATTGTCGACACTGACCCAGAATAGTCTGCTTGAAAAGAACAGAAAATAAGCCAGAAATTCCCAGCTTACGTAACACTGTTCACTTTGTCCTGTGCATGAATCTCGTGTATAACAAATCTTGCCCTGACCTTTTTTTATTTTCGTTTTTGGCGTCAGAAATGTTCCCTCTGACCCTCTGGATCGTTAAACGTAAGCAGATCGCATGTCTGTTCTCGCTGTCTACAATTTCAGCATGTCAGCAAGAACCCCCATTAATGGCTTCTGGACGAGAATAAGTTGTGCTGTTCCGGAACAAGGGGCACACCGTACCATACATTTAAAAGCTTCAGAGTTTTTTTTTTATTGTTTTTTTCCACAGCTAAAATCGAAAGAAGGAAACCAATCCGCTATAGTGGAGATTGGATTATCTGCAGTCGGACGGTTTTCATTTTTTTTTTTTTGGCCAAGGACTCTGGAAAAAGTGTGTTTATTCTTCTGGTCCAACAGTGTTCTCATGTAATGTACAGTGCATTCAAATCTAAATAAGCTGTCACCATTTTTTTGCGAGGTTTAAAGAGGGCTGGGGGTTTAAAGAGGGTCGGTGGTTTATCAAAAAAGCTAAAATAATATTTAAAATCAAGTAGAGTAGGAAATAAAATTCTTATTCTTCTAGAACAGTGTTCTTGAGCCTATCTGGGCTGCCTCCAGCAGCTGGCCGTTTGGTTTTTGGAAGAAGCCAAATGAATGGGTCAGCAAATGCCTTGGTGAATGGGTGCACCCAGACCAAAAAATTTCTAATGCCCAATTTTTTGCTGGGTAGAAGATGGCGCCTGTCATGGCAATTGAGAGTTGTTTGTTCCATCAAAGAACCCAAGCACTCCTTGATGGAACAGGGGGGATTATGTTAGGCAAGCAATTGAATGATATAATTGTCTTGATATCTGCTAGAGTTTCACCTACTACAGTACTTCAAACCAAATGACAAGCCCTATGAAGGGTTTATAAAGACTTGTGAGGGTTCAATATAAATAGTTAAGGTGGTAAATTGCAGAACCAAATCTAATCAGAATTGTTATTGATTACTCAGTTGAAGCAAGAGTTTGCTAAGTACAGTAGATGTTGATCTTATTCTGGTGAAATACATCCTTACTTGTTAACCCAGGAATTCCAAAAAGGAATTCCAGCCCCTGTCCCAGGCTCATTACTGCTTTTCATTTAAGCACTTTCTCTTTCCAATCCAGGTTTATACCAAATTATATTGAGGCGACATCTGTCCCCAAACTTTGTTCAACTTCAAACTTTGTTCAAAAACTGGCAAAGCTTCAACTGGAAATTATTTTTTCAGTCTCTTCTTTAAATAATTGAAGAATTCCAGAGCCACACATGGTAGAAACCTTGCTTTAAGCTACAAGAATACAAGAAGGAGATGGTGGTATAGTGATTTTATTTCCCAAGTAACTAACACCATAATGCCAATTTCCTGGTTGAACCTCAAGTTTGAAAAATTATAACTTTTTTCTTTCCAATTTATGTTTTTAAAGTATTACACATGGTTTTTTCATATTATACATATCTTCAATATTCTTCAATATTGAGGATGGGTGGGTGTATACAGCATACCTGTAGGATTTCCAGTTTTATTTTGTGGAGTGTGTTCTCTTTTGTTTTTGCCAAGGACTCTGGAAAAAGTGTGTTTATTCTTCTGGTCCAACAGTGTTCTTATGTAATGTACAGTGCATTCAAACCTAAATAAGCTGTCACCATTTTTTTTTGCTCCAAATTTCTCCCGACCCCCAAATTTCTCCCAGCCACCAAATAGTTTTTTCGATTTTATTATAAATTTTAGTTCATCTCATCCTTTATTTTAAGAATAAGAAGATCTTGTCACAAGAACTCGGATTGTATAGGACAACTGCAGAACTGGCATCTTTTGCAGATGAACAAAAGTTCATAAATGTTCGCAGATTAGCAGAAATTTGTTCAAAGCATGAAGTCGTCTAGCCAGAAAGTTTTTTGAAGAAAAAAAATCATAAGAAGTTGAGTACCAATGAGGCAACCGCAGTACTGTGGAATGTCTTTGAAAAATTAGAAACTACCTGGGCTTTAAAGAAAGGTATTTCTCAGAACGAAAACTTGAGATAATGTATTTCAGGAGGTGAAAATGTGTCTGAAGTCCTTCTGTTAGGAGAAAAACCAACATATTTTTAAATTTTCAGCAGATAATTTCATCTGCCATTGTCTTTCCTTCCCGGAATTCCAGATAAAGATACCAGACCATTAATACTTTGGATTAATTTATTTTGGTGAAGCAAATTTCCCCCATATACGAGCAAAAATATTTTGGGCCAGTCCACATGCATTTGCGTAAGTCCAAGCCACTGTTCTAGAAAACGAGAAACCCATTTCTAGAATATGTGAATTACATTCTGCTAATTTTCCAATGAAGTGAATTTAGTCATCTTTTTTAAAATTGGACGCCTCTTGCGAAAACGTGAATCTTGTTGGCAAGCAATCAAAGACAAAGTTAATTGGCAGGAGCATTGCTGAAAGCATACGCCGATATTCGTCGAGTGATAATCCTCCTTTTTCTACGACAACGATGGTCATATTATTTGAAAAAAAGACAAGTCCAAAATATGTTTAATGAATTTCGATTCGACGTGTATGCTTGAAAGTGACAAAGATATTTTCAACAATGTGTGGAGCTGAAATATTAATTTTTTTTAATTGAAGCCTTGCTGAATATTTCCAAGCCGGGCCTTGAGTAAATTCCAAAGCAATCGAGAATAACGACAACTCAAATCTTTGTTTTTCCTTCTTTTGCAGTGAAATTTTTTGCAAGGGCGAGTTGCTGGACACGGTACAAACTGCCGCTTTGTACAAGGACTCGAAACATTTTGTCGACATGACCCTGAAAAAGAGCAGAGCAGAGACATTGGCAGCCTTCAGGCAACTTCAGCAGGGTTCGTCACCAGCAGGGCAGTTGACCAAGGCCCAGGTGCAGACTTTCGTGGATGAGCATTTCGACCCGCCGGGTTCCGAGCTGGAAATCTGGATCCCACCAGACTGGAAACCCGAGTGAGAACCCTTCAGCATCTCGAGTTATACTTTCCACTGCAATTTATTCTTTATTGTGTGTGTGTGTGTGTGCTATTTTTTTGTGCAGGCCGAAGTTTCTGGATGAGATCAATGACGAGGATATGAAAGAATTCGCATCGCAACTGCACAAGCTGTGGAAGCAGTTGGGCAGGAAAGTGAAGAACAGGGTCCGGGACAACGCCGACAAATACTCGATTTTCTATGTTCCGCACGGGACGATCGTGCCTGGAGGCAGGTTCCGGGAGTTTTACTATTGGTGAGCCCGATATATGATGGGAGCACTGCATGTGCGAACAGTGCATTTCATTTTCTTGTCAAATTTTGGCACATTCGATCCCTCATCATCCTTGGACGAATACGTACATAGTCGACAGCATGCCGCTGCAAAGGGGGGTCACTATGTTTTTTTTTTTCTTTACCCCGCTCGTATAAAATTCTCGATTTTCCGGAAATTTGTTTTTCTGGATTTTTTTTTTCTTTCGTTGCTGTATACGTTGAGTTTTGCATTTCATTCAAGTTTAGTTTGTCAGCTTACACTGCATGACCCAACTGTAATTTTTGGGGAAATATGCATTAAGTTACAATTTTGTGCTTGCTTTAGTAGTCGGAATGAATTAGACTGAAAGAGGAGTCTTGAACTTAGCTCAAGAATTATGTTCGTCACTTTTAGCGAAACTTTTCAGCTCTTAGTCCGTAACAATATTTTATGTGATTTGAACCGCCTCGCACAAACAATTTTTTTATTTTTGTTTTCAGATCTAAATTACATTTTCTGTTTTTTGTGCACGGCGAAATCATCCATGTGTTTATATTCCTAAGATTAGCATATTTACTCGAGTACCACGCAACATTTCGAGTACAGTATAAGACACACACCAGTGTTTTTCGATCAAAAATGTTTATAAAATTGTATCCCTGAGTAAGATGTGTGCCTTACTTTCAGTCCCGGTAAAATTGCAATATTCCAAAAATAAGATCACTCAGATTTGGGTTTAGACATGCATTGATCCTGAATTCGACCAAGTTTCAATAATTCCGATTGCAACACGTTTTTCTGTTCAACCTAGTCTAAATTTCCCGTTAAAATCAGATATAATGCAGTCTTAAGAGTTAAAAAAAAATTTTACCAAATTTAGACTAGCATCCCTTTTTTTTCTCAATTTTGAGAAAAAAGTTGCGCGCGTAGTACTGGAGTAAATGCAGTAGGAATGAACTTGTATTGAAAACAAATACTAGATATGCTGCGCTAAGATAACTTTAATTGACTGAAATTCCAAGTTAAATGTGGTTAGTGAGGTTCCACTCATTTTCCAACTGTTATTCTCAGTAAAGCATAATTGATAAGAGAATTGGGATTGTATACTCGAACTTTGTTGGAGTACGCAACAATTTTGGTAGACTGCCTCCAATGATCATTGAAATCAATCTACAGAATTTTAGGAGAGCCCCTCTTCATTCCGTATCCTCGCTGTCGATGGTTTTAGCGTATCCCTTTGAAATTTTTCCGTTACGACACTTAATATTCTCGTGAACTCCTTGCGCGACCTCAAAAGGTCTACTATTTTAGACCTCTAAAGGAGCCGACATGAGCATTGAACTAGAAGTGAAAGAGATCATTAGGCTACGAAAGTGCACCGTTTCAACTTTTGGCAAAGGATCAAATGCTCGACAGATTTTCAATCCCGCAAAATAATACTCGAAAATGGATATGCCGTATTTATTCGAGGACCTCTTCATGGTGCCATCGAATATAAAAGACACGCACCACAATGGTTTTTGCTAAAAAATCAAGAATTGTAACATATTTTTTGTGTTTGCGTCCAACTTTTCCCCATTGATATTTTTTTTGTCATCCCTGTTTGTTTGTTTTATTGCCTGCAAGAGCAGCTAAAATGTGCTTGAAATATAACTGGCAACCTCCTCATCAGTATAGATGAATAATTCCCTTTCCCTCAATTTACTTCCTGCTGCAACTCAAACCGATACACTCCTAAAATTATTATTCCTTGAACAATTTTTTTTATCATGGACAAGGTCGCCATTCATTTTTTTTTTAATTTGTTCTTGATGCTTAGATGTACTCACTTGAGTGTAATGATGGGCACTGGTTTTGGGGATTTTGGCTAAAAACAATTTATCACCCAGTGCACCCGAATTTTTCTGTCCCAATTTCTGATAAACGGGGTACTCAAGTAACTATTTCACGTTCACTCTCGTTCTATTTTTTCGAGACTGCCGCAACAAGTTTTCAATGCTGTTTTTTTTAATCTTGATACAGAGCTATTGTTGTGATTTTTTAAATATTTATCATCGTTGTTTCACGTTTCACAGGGACTCCTACTGGGTGATTAAGGCACTGCTCATCGGTGGGATGTCGGAAACAGTGAAAGGCATGCTGAGCAATTTCGTGGAGATGCAGCGGAAATTTGGGTTCATTCCAAATGGAGGCCGGAAGTATTTCGCCCGTCGAAGCCAGCCGCCATATTTCATCCCCATGGTTCACGAATACGTCTCCGCCACGGGTGATCTGGAATTCCTCAGGCACAGTATATTTTCACGTCTTACAATAACGCAAAATCTGCATATGTGCAGTATTCGGGAATTCTTTGCAGTCCTTTTAATCTGTCGAAGAAAAATAGAAGCGGCACTATTAGGGTTTGCGGGGCCTGGGGCAGGTATGGCAGATGTGTGACGCGTTGAAAAGCCTTCCAATCCTCAAAAAGTATTCAGGCATTTAAAATTAGATTTAAATGTAAACTTGGTTGCAAATTAAATTATATTACTTGAGGCCGTAAAAAGATCTTTGTGGATCATACTAAAGATTTTCAAATTTTGATGATCAACTTTTTGTAACATATTCTTTGTTGGTATCTCTCATCACCTTCTTGAAAAAGATCTGCTTGTTTTTGGCTCAATTAGTGGAAATTCACTTTTTTCATCATAAACCGTCAGAAATGGCTATTGCATATAAAATTGCAATAATGATGCTAAGATTCACTGCAGAAGCAGAGTATAAGTAATTAGAAGTTCATGAAGTCAGCATCTTTCTTGGACAAACTTATGCAGCTCAGCATTCATATTTTTATAGTCTCCTGGTTAAACACAATTTTTGTGCAAATGTAATTTTGCCAAATGTGGCTGTCTGACTTATACAGCTGATCTTCTTCAACTTGAATTCAAAAAAAGGTAAAGGTGCACCATCCAAACATCCCCAAATGTTATCAACATGATGTGTTTCCAGGAAACTCTGTAGCTCCATTTTTATTTATGCCCTTCCTTTTAAAATCAA